ACTCTACTGTGATTGGTCAATTCGCTTACTGCTTACATTTTACTGCTTAAGTTTTTTTGTGTGCCATGGCCCTTACTGTCAATACACCCCACTGTCCACATGGGTTAGGATTTATTTGTTTTATAGCATACATTTTAAATTTGGTGCCTGTTGGACCGATAAGTAACGAGACGCATGCGCATGAAGTCAGAGAGCATGAAGAAGGCATAGTGGTAGCACTACACATAGGCTGCGTTCGTAAACGTCGCTCGGATGCCTCCGATGCCTCGGATTCATCATCTGTCTTCGTTTAACATTTAATGTTAAAGAAGGACAGATGATGAATTCGAGGTATCGGAGGCATTCGAGCGACGTTTCCGAATGCAGCCATAGTCGGTATGACAGATTTCCTAACCTGCAGAGTCGTCAACTTTAACGCTAAATATCTCGGTTCGCGAGGCAGAGCGACACTTTTTTCTGCCAGATTCTTTCGTTTTGTGCAAAAACGCGTCAAATAAGCCTAATTTCATCGAAATCGGAGGTGAGGGAGGTATTCTGAATAATTACCATATTTCCTTATTAACTATTAAGATGTATAAACGTGCATTAATATTACTCACCTCGTTGCTCTGACACACTTTACCGACCATTCCAGACCAGTCACGACTACGACAGCTACGTTTTTCTCTGCCTTACCTTACGTTACGACTACGGAACTTACGTCTCGTTACGTCTCGTTCTCTGCCATAGCCCGTAGAGAAACTTCTTACGGAACGGAATGGTATGTTCACCTCAGATGGTTGAATGTGAAATTAAAACAAATATTCAGAAACCTTTTTTTTGGAGATTACAACGATGGACGAAGAAGTAGTGTTAACTGTAATGTTAAAATTATTGCGAAATGCAAGAAATATGCCAAGTTGGCGTGCTATTCTGATATTTAAGAGAGTACGAAAATTATATTTCGCTTATAATATTTTATTACAAAATAAAAAATATACAAGAAAACGAAAATTTTGGGTACGGCCAATGTTTACACAAAGAATGAGACATCTTCAAGTTCCGATACAGCAGAGAAACTTCTTACCGAACAAAATAGTGAACTTATTTCTAGTAAGAAATCCGTTCTGTCATTCCGATTCCGTGTACATGTGACGGCACCCTAAGGCCAGTATTCATAGTAGGTTCTTATTTTAAGACCGTCTTAAGTAATGTCTTAAGTTGCTAATGCGGCCCTCTGATTGGTTCATGACATCTTAAGATTGTACTTAAGAAGGTCTTAAATATAAAATCCGACTATGAATACTGGTCTAAAGCCCGTATCAGCCTCCCGACTCTGCAGGCCGACTGCCAACTCTGACTGCCGATCAATAATGGATCAATCACAATATGACTGATTCAATGTGATTGATCCATTATTGGTCAACAGCCAGAGTTGGCAGTCGGGTCGGCTTGCAGAGTCGGTAGTCTGATACGGGCTTTAGGACCACTGTCATCAAGCTCAGTTAACTTAACTGGCCAGTTAGTCCATCAGAATTGACCAATCGCATTTGTCATTTTGTTAAGTTAACTGAGCTTGGTGACAGTGACTCTAACCCCGGATCTACAATAGGTGTTTTAAGTCTTAAGTCGTAAGAAATTGACCAATTACAGTCGAATTCGAGGAGAATTATCGACTACGATTCGTCCATTTCTTATGACTTAAAACTTAAAACTCTATTATAGATCCGGGGTAAGTCCGGATCTACAATAGATGTTTTAAGATTTAAGCCGTAAGAAACTGACCAATTACAGTCAAATCCGAGGGGAATAATCGATTGTGATTCGCCCATTTCTTATGGCTTAAAACCCTATTGTAGATCCAGGCACCGACGAGATATTATTAAAGACCGACATCCTTATGGGAGTTCGCGTTAATGTTTCTTGTTAATATTGAAGTGATTAAGAGTAAAAAAA